TGTGGAGGACCATGGCCTCATCAGAAATGGCACTGGAGAAGGTGCTGCCAGAGTTGTTCTATGTGATTGAGGACTGGCCAGTGCACAGCACGTGCACCTCCGACGAGGACAACACGCCTGTCTTTGCTCTGGCTGTGAGTTTCTGCAATGGGCTTTGGCTCCTTCCCAGGTCACCTCCCCAGTGGGTCTCCTTCCTCCCAAGCACTGCATCTTCCTGCCTCAGGCATGGGGCTGGGAATGTAGGTTAGGGCCAGGTTCAGGGGCACCAGGCCAGGGGCTCCCCCTGAGTCTCCCCTGGGATCTCCCTCTCACAATCGAGCCCTGCCCCATGGACATCTGGGCACTGAGAGCTGATCTGGGTGGTTTGTCTTTTGCAGGCAACCAGGGTGATCTGGGAGATCCTCCAGGTGATCCGGTGCCCAGGGGCATTGGTGGAGTACTTCCCCTGTCTCCTCATGGCTCTGCTCTTCCAAGTTCTTGCCAGCATAGAGCAGATGCCAGAGGAGGTTGACACCTTCTGGAGCGGATGCCAGGAGCAACAGAACCTTCCCACCAACCCCAGCAGGTGCTCCATCCCAGTCCTCCTGTGCCTTCCATGCCCTTGGGGCTGGGTCAGGGCTGCCAGCATGACCTGGCCTTTGCTCTGCACACAGGTTTGCAGTGGTGACCATAAAGGCCCTGCTTTGCCATCTGAAATATGAGGATGTGGTGTTTTCAATGGAACGCAAGCGTGGCTGGGACACGCTCCTCAGGCCTGACACCCACCACTACGCAGTGGGTCTGCTGGCCAGGTGAGACCCCCTTGTCCCCGCTGCCCCTGTCATTTCTGCCTGGGCACGGGGCACCCCCACAGTGCCCGTGGTCGTGGGCCAGAGGGCCTTGTCAGCCAGGGATGGCTGAGCAGAGTGGAAAAGGCTGGGAGAGGCGGGGGCACAGGAGGAGCCGCCTCCCGGAGTGCATGTGTCCCCTCCTGAGCTGGTGGGGAAAGACCAGGCCTCTGTGAGTCCATCCCAGCAGATGTTTTCCCCACCCAGCTCAGGTCGATGGTGCCTTTTTCCCCCTGCCAGGGAGATCCGCCGTGTCTCCAGCCCCTTGTGTTCCCGGATCACACTCCACCTGCTGGAGCTGCAGGGCAGAGAGGAGCCCCACTTGGAAGTTCCCATGGTGGCATTCCTTGTGGAGGTGAGCCTGATGGCGAGCGCTGCCTCGCTCTCTTGGAGGGCCCAGCCCTGTTCAGGTCCGGGCTCCTGCTGGCCAGGCACCCCTCACTCCTGTGTGCCTTTCAGGTCCTGGACTGGGTGGACATGAGTGAATGGGGAGACAGCCTCCTGCAGATGCTTTCAAGGCACCTCCCGAGCGCGTGCCCAGAGAGGCGTCGCCTGGCACTGCGAGCTCTTGTGGTGCTGAGCAAAGATCGTGCCATGGTGAGCAGGGGGCAGGGGCTGAAGCCGTGTGGGCAGCGTGGGGCTGGGCAAGGCAGTCCCTTGGGCTGGGCTGGGCTTTGGGAGCTGTGGCAGCTGCTCCCAGCTCTGCTGCCTCCCTGTTCAGCTGCCCCAGTCCCTCGGGACAGGCCTTTGGCCTCCGGGCCCCGCGGCAGCACCTGGGGCTGCCCCGCCCAAGCGGGGTTGGCTCTGCAGCCGTTCCTGGCTTCACAGCACAGCCTTGTGTTCCTCCCAGGCTGACGGTGTGTGGACCCTGACAGAAAGCCTCACGAGCCTCCTGTGGGATGCAGATGAAGAGCTGGTCAAGATGGCTCTCTGTGTATTCCTCAATGCACTTCGGGGCAGAAACACCCCCATCTCCCCCCTCACTGCCCAGGAGCTGGTTGAGGCACTCCCGACACTCTTTGGCTTTGTAAGTCTCTGTGCCCCCCACCACAGGCCCTGGGTGCTGCCAGGAAAGTGTGGCCTGTGCATTTGCAGGCCTGTGCCCCGGTGGGGCTGGAACAGCCAGTGCTGAGTTCTTTTCTTCTTCCTTTGCATCAGGAGAACATCCGTGTGCAACTGCTCTCCGTTCGCCTCTTCC